CATCTTTCTGTACATTTCCCAATAATTATGCCTTCTGTCATCAACTTCATTCTCCTTGCATTTCCTTTCTAGATCATCTTTCTTGACCTGTCTGCATTTCCTTTGAATTTCTTTGATAATTTTTATGAAGCCTCACTTCGTTCTCTCATATTCTTCATCTAACCATTTCCTTTGAAATTTTATTTTTCATCCACTTACTTTTAGCCTTGTTCCTCCCATTAGCAGAGCAGCTAAATGTCTCAAATTCTAAGGGAATTTTGCAAATGATGATACAAGTATGAAAATTAGCAGGAAGATTCAAAAAGGGTTAATTAATTATCAAATCTCTCTGATTGGACATTCAAAATTAAAAGATGGCCACCAAATGTGGATGTCAGATTTTCCTTTTTGGCATAAAAATTATTGTTTTCATTAATTCAGGTGATTTCAGTGTTGAATCCCATGTTTTTGAGTACTGTATGTAGAATCTGAATTTTGTGTTGAAAACTCTGAAATGAATAGCATTCAAAGGAAACATGCTTATAAAGAGTGAATAACACTGTACTACCAGGGCACACTGGTGACAACACTGCTGTGAAACTCAGCATGGGGTTCAGTGTCAGCTAAGTACGAAACTCATAGTAAAGATTCATATACAGTTGGTCCTCACATTACGCGGTTAATGTAACCCGGAGGGTCCCGCGGAAAGTGAGGAACGCGGAAAGTGAACAACATAACATATGGGATTAATTGAAATGGAGTCCAGGCCGATCCCCAAACTCCACTTTTTGACGACACACAACTATGTTGTAGTAAAAATTTTATCTTAACTTTATGATGGTATGAAAAAACAAGTAATATAGAAGAGGTTAGGTTAGGAAAGATAAAGGTTAACATAGGAAAAATAAAGAATAGGTTAAAAAACTAAAAATTTTGTGTAACACTTACGGTAGTAGAAGAGATGGGTCGGCATACGGGGATGGAGGCTGGTTCCGAGGCAGAGGGCAGATTACTGGCCCTCAGGTGAATCACCATTACTAGGTGAATCATCATCACTGTCACTTACAGTTGTCAGGGCTTCCCTGACAAATCCCTCAAAGTCAACTTCACTGTCACTATCACTGGCTTGGGCTGGCTGTGGTGGGTTGCGGGTGAAGAAATCTGTTATGCTTTGCTGACGGCTGGCGTTGATGTTGTCGTGATACACCTTGATGTACGGCTCCATAGCCTGCACCAGCCGGTTATGGAAGACTTCATAGCGGTCATCGTCATTGTCGCGGGAAAGGAAGGACTTCATCTTCTCTGCACACTCCATGGCACCCTTAATATCACTATGACTTAAATTGTGTTCTTCGGAGACTGACGCACCTTCTTCCTCCTCTTCACTGACGTGTTCTTCTTCCATCATCTCGTCGGCAGTCACTTCAGGATCTCTGATCACCTCCAGGATGTCGTCGTTGGTGGTCTCGGAGAAGCCTGGAACTGTAACAGTCTGCGCAGCTTCTCTGGCAAGGTCCACTGCTACTGCAACATTCTGAACCTCACCAGTCACAGATTGACTCCTCCTCTCACCTGGTATTCCATGCAACACATGTCTCCATGCGTGACGAATTGTAGCAATAGACAGCTGATCCCATGACTCCACCAAGATGTCCACAGCTTTCTTGATGTTAAATATTCTCCAGAATTGTTTGAAGAGTATTTTTTGCTGTTCTAACCGTTGTTCCTCATCTTCGTCGCTCTTGCTATCGGTGGTGGTGTCACTCAGGTCACGCAACTCTTCCCTGGTGTTGGTGTAGTCGTTCAGGAGCTGGAATTTTTTTGTTGAGAATGCAGCTTTCACATTGCAAATCAACTCCTGGTCCATGGGCTGTAATATAGACGTAGTGTTGGGAGGAAGGAAGACCACTTTTACGTTGGGGTGACGATCTAACAGTAGGGGCGAGTGTCCTGGTGCGTTGTCCAGCAGCAACAAAATATTAAATGGGACATTCTGTTGCTCACAGAATTTCTTTACATCGGGAACAAAACAGTCATCAAACCAGGAGAGGGACAGTGTAGAGAACATCCATGCCTTACGTGCTGTCAGCCAGTGGACATTTAGCTTGGTCATGTCCATGGTTTTGTAGGCGTGCGGCTTGCGTGCTGTGTGGATCACCGATAACTTGAGCTTACAGGTACCGGAGGCATTGGTGGCAAACAGGACGGTGATGCGTTCCTTCTGCATTTTCCGGCCCCGAATCCTGCTGGCATTCTTCACAATGTAGGACTTGGAAGGTAGTTTTCTCCAGAAAAGACCAGATTCGTCCATGTTAAACACCTGGTCGTCACTGTACTGTCCTTCCTCCATAATCTCACGTAAAAACGGAGGAAATTCCCGAGCCGCAGCACGATCAGCACTCGCTTCTTCACCACCAATGTTTATATTGGTGATCTTGTTCCGGATCTTAAACCTCTGTAACCACCCAGAGGAAGCAGTAAAGGGTTTGGGCTCTGTAATTCCCATCTTTCGTGCCACTGCCATGTACAGTTCACGTGCGTAGTCCTTCACAGAGCGCGTGTCGACCGCCATGTTCCGTCGCGCCTGACGCACCAAGTACCTCACAAGTAATTTTTCTGTCTTGAGAAGCACCTGGTTGTGAAAATACTTGATCATAGAAGCACCTGCAGACTTTGTGATTTTCATGTGCTCTTTGATCTTGGCTGCATCCTTCTTGATCGTGCGAATCGTAGATTCGTTGACGCCATGCTGGCGCGCGAGATCAACTTGCCGTGTTCCTTTCTCCAAATCTTGAATAATTTGGTACTTCACCTCGTAGCTTAAGGAACGTCGTGTCTTCTTTGGCTTAGTGCCGCTGGGTCCAGGTAAGGAAAGGTTTTTCTCTGGGGGTGGTGGTCCGGCGGAAGCCATTTTACGGAACAATGGATGCGCGTTAACACGGAGTGGCCTTGAGGGATGAAACTGTCGCGGCTAGGTCAAGCGTCGTCTCTCCTCCCTCCCTCCCTCCCCCGGGTGGACACGTCATAATACTTTAAGCCAATTACAGCTAGCAGCAGAGGAGGGTAGGGATGCATGGCCAATCACAGGTCTTGTACGTCATATGACGTCAGTGATAACGCAACAAAGACACACTGCGCAACCTTACCGCGCCGCTTGCCCAAGCGGAGGGAGGAGGAGGGAGAGGCAGGCAGGCGGCGTGGCGCGTGGGGAAAATCTAAAAATAGCGTCGCGCCGGACACTCTCCGCGTAATGGCGTTCGCGACCGCGAAATGTGAAAATGTTAGGTTCTGGCAAGGCACCGCGGTAACGGTGAAACGCGGAATGCGGGACCGCTTAATGTGAGGACCAACTGTATATACATACACGTACTTAGTGTCCCAAATGCTACCTAATCAACCCCAAATAAGGTTAGGTAGCCGCACCTGAATTGACAGGATGCGTCAGGGCGTGAGAGCCGAGCCAAGGATAATGGGGTTAAAGTTATCTGGATGGTGTACAGATCGCACTGGACTTAACTGATACTGGATGAACGATTAATCGGGCTAGGTGTAGGGCAAACAATTGTTTGAACCGAGTTGTATCCCATACAGGAAAGTACATATGATACAGAGTGGTAAAAGGATAAACCTTCAGCGCTGTAGCACAAAGGCGATGAAACAAGATAGAATTTTATAAAAGGTGCTGTGTGTTGTATATCACTGTCCACTCAGCTGGGGTACCGGTATACTGTATTGAACAAATATTAGCTTCCTTCTCCCAGGCTGTCTGTTGCTGATCATTAGGTAAACCATATGCTGTACAGGTATACATTTCATGAGTTAACTGAAAAGTGTATTGATAAGAACTGTTGATGGGAAAAAGTTGCTACTGTACTCTACTGTTGATAGAATTATTGGGATAAAGTATTCCAATTTCAGATATGTTTTGATTTTGAGGGCTGCTACCTGATGACACTTTACTACACTTTGGCATTTATTATCAAATTGCAGAAAAATCTCAAGTAATTTTATTTTTTAGTATACAGTATGTCTTTTTTGTACTGGTATATACCTGTACAGTATTTGTGTCTATATAAATACTGTATATGAATTTATTTTGTAGTTGTGCTTGAAATCTAGCTTGACACACTAAACTGGACTTTACGAAACCCAAAAGTTGGATATGCCGGCTGTGTGTGGCTCATCCATATTATTTAAAGAAAAAATTTTTGTGTGTAAAACTAGTCTGGTCCTGTTAGTCATTTCATAACAGTGTCATGTTGTGCATTCAGTCTATTCATAAAAGTAAGAAAATACAGGTACTTGAATATTCTGAAATAAAAGGTGTTGGTCTAGATCACTGGGTTGTAGTACAGTACAGTGTACTGTATATGTTGACACAGGACATTGTTCTCCCTGGGTATGTCTCATGTCCAGTTGTTTGTTTAGTGATGTTTCTCACACCCAATGCTCTGGAGATTATGTACATTACTGTGGGGCTCTACTGTAGCTGTTTTGTTTTTGTCTATAGTATTGTGTGTAGTATTCCTTATTTCATTACTGTGGTGGGCAGGTTGTATTGGTGGTGGTGGTGCAAGGCCATAATAAGTGCATAAACATGAAGGTGTTGATAAACTGAAGTAACTACTGCTTCACTTCCTAGCTCTTGGCCTGGGGAATGTAAACAGGTTACCTCTCATGTTTTGTTTTTTTATCAATAATATCTTACATCAGGGTAATTGTTTTTAATGGTTAATTTAACATGGATGCAACAGAGTGCTGTACATTTTCCTGAAATAGATACACCTGTAAATGGAGTGCTGAAATGGTATATTTTTTATTTTCATTTTATTTTATTTTTTATCCCAGGAAACACTCCCGGAAAACCTGTAAATTCACAATATCTTGGCTCCCATTCCTTCTCTTTGTAACAGAGTTTTCCGTATAAATTATTTCTTGCGAGATACCCCAAGTGTACCCTTTTGCATGATTATCACTGATGTACTGTACTCGTGTTCTGACACGTGTTCCTCCTCTCCCAGGGAAGTATGGAAGAGTGTTCCAGCCTGAGGTCAAGTGATTCAGCAGGTACCAGCGAAGAATATGAAATTGTCGAGAGTCTGGCAGCCCAAGACTCTGAGCCACAACTGAACATTGCCAACAACGGCAACATGGAAGACCTACAGCAGGAGCTTACAGAGGTGCTTTACCCTCCCAGACACTACACTCTGCTTACACCACCATTATACCACACCCTGTTTATGCCACCAGTATACCACACCATGTTTATGCCATCATTACACCACACCATGTTTACAACACCAGTATGTCACACCATGTTTACACCATCATTATACCACACCATGTTTACAACACCAGTATGTCACACCATGTTTACACCATCATTATACCACACCCTGTTTACAACACCAGTATGTCACACCATGTTTACACCATCATTATACCACACCCTGTTTACAACACCAGTATGTCACATCATGTTTACACCATCATTATGCCACACCCTGTTTACAACACCAGTATGTCACACCATGTTTACACCACCACCATTATACCACACACTGTTTACAACACCAGTATGTCACACCATGTACACCATCATTATACCACACCATGTTTACAACACCAGTATGTCACACCATGTTTACACCACCATTATACCACACCTGTTTACAACACCAGTCTGTCACACCATGTTTACACCACCATTATACCACACCCTTTTTACAACACCAGTCTGTCACACCATGTTTACACCACTACCATTCTACCACACCATGTTTCACACCATGTTTACACCACACCATTCTACCACACCATGTTTACACCACCACCATTCTACCACACCATGTTTACACCACCACCATTCTACCACACCATGTTTACACCACCACCATTCTACCACCATGTTTACCACCATTCTACCACACCATGTTTACACCACCACCATTCTACCACACCATGTTTACACCACTACCATTCTACCACACCATGTTTACACCACACCATTCTCATTATACCACACCATGTTTACAACACCAGTATGTCACACCATGTTTACACCACCATTATACCACACCATGTTTACAACACCAGTATGTCACACCATGTTTACACCACCACCATTATACCACACCCTGTTTACAACACCAGTCTGTCACACCATGTTTACACCACCATTATACCACACCCTGTTTACAACACCAGTCTGTCACACCATGTTTACACCACCATTATACCACACCCTTTTTACAACACCAGTCTGTCACACCATGTTTACACTACTACCATTCTACCACACCATGTTTACACCACTACCATTCTACCACACCATGTTTACACCACCACCATTCTACCACACCATGTTTACACCACCACCATTCTACCACACCATGTTTACACCACCAATACCGTATACCCTTGTAACTAAGTGTATTATTTCCCCTCCTCTTTCAGTATAATTGTCAGTTGATTATTTGTATCTGGATAAAAAAGTTTGGCAATATTTATGGGTTGAGAGATCATGGGGGGGGGCTGTTTATTATTTTGAGTAAGAGTTATTCCTGTGGTAATACTTCAAGGGTTTTTCTTTGTAATAACGGGATAAGTTTTTGTAAGTTGTTTTTTAATCCATCTGTATGTGTATGTTCACTCATCCATCTACCTATCTTTCTGTCAGTTTGTTCATCCATTCATTTTTTCAGGAACTCTTGATCAGTATCTGTGAAATTGTAGGATATATGACTAGATCAGGAGGACAGGGATGTTAGGGTGATTGTCTGTAATGAAATTCCCCCCCCCCCCCAAAAAAAGTTACACTTCAGTAGTGTTGTAAAGATGTGCATAGGTTAAGTTAGTTTAGTAAAGGTCACTACAGTATTATGTAGGAGACTCAAAAGTAATGGTAATTGTCCCAGTCATTTTAATAACTCTCAATACTTGATAGGAATGCTCTTTGATTTGTCTCTCTTAAAAGTTGTGTCCAATGTAAGCACTTTTATTGCACTGTTCTCCCAGATGGGTGATAAGGTCTACAAAGACTTCTTGTTTTATGGTCATTCACAAGTTTTGATTATGAAATATTAATGTTAGGTGATCATCAAACACAGGTGATGGTCAGGAACCACAATGTTTAAGGGGAAACTTGTTTAGGTACAGTACAGGAACAGGTGTCTACAATATACAAAAATTATATTTATACAGTACTAACAGCAAGTAATGTTTCATCAGTTATATTTTTCTTGGGGTGTATCTGTTTGTCATTCTGTAATTATAGATTTGAAAAAGTAGTCCATCCTCCAGTTTGCAGTGGAATACAGTATAATGAAACTTTTTTTTTTTTTTTTTATATGTCTAATTAGTTCTGCTTTGACTATTCTTTTGGCTGAGTATTGGTCTCTTGTTCTGTGGTATGCTAGAGTTAGGGGCAAATGTCATCATCAAAAGATTCCAGCTGCTGATGAGATGTTGTCTACAATCACAGTGTTTTTTTGCAGGTAATGAGAGAGAAGAGTTCAGAAAGCTCCTCTCCAAACAGCATGGATTCGAGCACAAAATTCTGCACAAAGAAGGATGAGGATTCCTCTTGCTTCTCGCTGCCCATCCTAGAAACTCAGGTGTCTCAGGTCTCAACGCTCAGTGAGGACGCTTGTAATAATCAAGATGGCAGGATAGACGACAGGAACCTTGGGGAAAATAATCCAAGTTTTTCTCAAGTAGCTTCAGATGATGATAGTGAGTTTCATGGGACAGAAACTGAAGTTATGGGTTTAAATGGAGGAGGTTGTTTTTAAGATGTCTGAGTCCCCAATACTTTATAGATACACCAGATTTTTATAGATATTAGTATGGATAATTTGTATAGTTTTGTATTATGTATTATATAATTTATGATAATAATGTATAGGACTATATATTTATTCATCACAGTATGCAGAGTAATGTTTTTGTTTTGGTTGTTTGTTCCTCAACTTTCCTTCCTTATCTCCCCCATAATGAGACCATGGCTTCATAATGTGCTGGTTCTTTGTGGTTATCTCCCTTTGTTTTTTAATTAATTTTGCAAGTAATTTATATAATGAGCCACACTTATCTTGAAGAAAATAAAACACTTAGGATTTACCTGTCACCACTCTTGTGACTGGCCAGGGTAGGGTTATGATATTACCTGTGGCCGATTGTTTTATAGAATCTGTACAGAACATTTCTAACCGTTTACAGTGTGAATAAATTTTTATCTACTTCATTGTGGATTTTTATAATGTCATATATAAAATTTTCACAGTTAAAGTAACAATTTTTTATTATTATTATAACTAGAACTAAAATGGATTCTGAAGAATTTGGAGTTCATTATACTGTAGCTATGTTTATTAGTATTTTGTTATTGCTTTCAGTGGAGAGAGTTCAAACAGAGGATGGCAGTGGGGACTACACAATATTCAACAGGGTGACATATTTGGGGGCGGCCTCAATTAATGCCCCTAGAAGTGAGGCGGAGATTCAGAGAAATATGGCAATACTCAACGCTCAAGCTCAGGAACAGGCTCTGGAAGTCTCTGTTTCAGTTCCATCAAATTCTGAAGGCTATGTCATGTGAGTCTTCCAATTGTATTTTAATTATGTAATCTTTACTTGAAACATAGTGGGTGTGGCAGCTGAGCAGATACAGCTCTCATCTTTGCCCTAAGGGTTGTTGGTTCGTGCTTGAAGCATCCCCAGTATATCCATTGCCTAACATAATGCTTCCTGTATTGTCATTGTCCTTACTGGACAGTGAGGCCTTTGGGCCTTACTATCGCATTTTTATTTCAATTTTTTTGTGGACATATCACAAGTATTTTATTGATACAGCAAAGTACTTTATATAATGTTTTGAATGTGACGCATATCTGAGACTTATTTTCCTATTAATGATTGGCATTATATAAGTCTCAGGAAATTAAAAATTGAATAGGATGATTTTATTATATTTATCCATATTTCAACAGAATTTATGATGCCACCACAAGCACAGAGATGACTCGCTTCAAGATACACCGCATCCTCTTCTGTGCCCGGGGGAAAGTAGACACGTCAGAAGCGCGGTGCTTTGCCTTCACCTCTTCTCACGGAGATACACAAGAAACGGCAATATTCCAGTGCCATGTTTTCCGTTGTCAAATTCCTGAAGCTGTAAGTTAAAATTCCTAAGAATGACTGTAACTACAAAGTCTTTCGTCATGTCCTTAGCGTTCTCAGGTGGAAGTTATACTGTCTAAATAGCCTTGTCTTTGTTAATCCTACATACTACTTTATGTCTCACTATATACTATTCCTGTACAGGTGTTGACCATTATACGATTGATTGATATACGACCAATCAGTTTTATGTTGCTAAAAAATTAACACCAAATACCATATGCGATGGCTAAGATCAGATTTACAATGGTCGTTACCCAAATGTTTTTCCTGCATTGTCACTGTTGTGAAAAATTGATCTGCAATAACTTACAATATTCCAAGATACATTGATGTAATCTTGGAATGGCATAACACATACAACCCATGCGGGTTGTGTGGGAGGCTCTGTCTGTCCATGATGACTGCCAGGCTGAGCAGTTGAACTGTGTCATGGCGCCCAGAGGATGGTTTGCGTGTGTGGAAGAAGCTATTCTTTGTAGGTACATGAAATAATATACTGTACCATTAAATGTGAGCAGGACTAAAGAAAAATAATAATAATAATAAAAAATACTGCATTGCCATTTGGGAATCATTTCACTCCACATAGGACACAAGACAAGATCCTCCATGCCACTCCCTTTTCTCCTTCCTCCCCTCTATGGTTTTGAACTTATGATAATTATTATTTATTTTTTGCACATTCTGCATGAAAGATTGTGTGTGCATGTAACAGAGGAAAAAAAAAAATGTATGTGCCCGAAATTACGAGTTGAAATATAACCACTCTTAGTGCTAACTGTGGCTCTTCAGGGACTCAGGAATGGAACCTATTTTCCCCTATAAGTTATTAATATTGATATACTATCAGTCACCTTATGATGGCTTTTAGAAGTTCCTAACCCCATCTTATAACGGGCAGCACCTGTATACTTCTCCTATATACCACTTAATACCATTCCTATATACTGTACTATTATATACCAATCCTCTATACTGTATATTCCTTTCATATTTATCACTATACAGTTCCATTATACACTATTAGATATACAGTATACCATTTCTATATACTCTCTCTCATTGGTAAATAAATCATCTCTTGTACTCCACTTTGAGTTGATTAATACTGTTTGTTCTTCATACCTGTTGGGTGCTGTGCTGCCTGTTAAGAGTGGTGTGTTTTACACTTGTGGAAGAACTTGACTGGTTGGTTTAGATATCAACTGAATATAATAGTGGATGTCTTATGACCCAAGAAAGCATGAAAAGAGTACAGTAAATGTTTACGAGGCAAGAATGCAGCACAATTCAGTGGTATTTTTTTTAGAGTAGCCAATTGATTTGTAACTTGATCTAATTTCAATTTTATTTTATACCGAGGGATATTGATGACTGGTGTTGTGACTCATATTAAACATCTTTTTTGTCCAGGTTGCCCGTGTGTTGATAACCTTCGCTGCAGCGTTCAGAAGAGTGCCCAGGAGTAAGCTGGTGAAGAAGGAAGAGGAGCTCTGCCAAAACAGGCAACAGGCAGATCAGTCTCACCTTTTTGATATATCCTTGGAGATTAAAGAGGAAGACAGTAAGGTAAAGAGAACTTAGGTTAAAGAGGAAGACAGTAAGGTAAAGAGAACTTAGGTTAAAGAGGAAGACAGTAAGGTAAAGAGAACTTAGGTTAAAGAGGAAGACAGTAAGGTAAAGAGAACTTAGGTTAAAGAGGAAGACAGTAAGGTAAAGAGAACTTAGGTTAAAGAGGAAGACAGTAAGGTAAAGGGAACTTAGGTTAAAGAGGAAGACAGTAAGGTAAAGAGAACTTAGGTTAAAGAGGAAGACAGTAAGGTAAAGGGAACTTAGGTTAAAGAGGAAGACAGTAAGGTAAAGGGAACTTAGGTTAAAGAGGAAGACAGTAAGGTAAAGGGAACTTAGGTTAAAGAGGAAGACAGTAAGGTAAAGGGAACTTAGGTTAAAGAGGAAGACAGTAAGGTAAAGGGAACTTAGGTTAAAGAGGAAGACAGTAAGGTAAAGGGAACTTAGGTTAAAGAGGAAGACAGTAAGGTAAAGAGAACTTAGGTTAAAGAGGAATGTCTCAACTCAGGTGTGATGGACATAGTGAGAGAATGGGAAGGGAAAGGTTGGTAAAAATAATAATAATAATAATAATAATAGCTGGTCTTTTGTTTCTCAAAAGCATCAGTTCTTTCAAAGAATTCCCGAGTGCTCGAAATACAGTAGTTCATCATCAGGATCATAAGCTTTAAAAAAAAAAGTTTTAAGTTGTTTCTTAAGGCCTCCACCGAAGTCATCTGCTTCATGGATGCAGACAACCATTTGTACAATCTGGATGGTGTATAGGAAAAGGATCAGGCAGCAAAAGAACATTTCCGTACTGCTCTAGGCTCCTGAAGGTGTGAGGGATCATCACTACTGTAGTACACAAAATTATTTCAGAACTTGTGGTCAGAGGATTTAGAAGATTGGACAAATACGTAGGATCATCAAACAGAAGTGCCTTAAAAGTCATTAAACAGAGTTTGAATCTGTTCTAGCTTTAATTGGAAGCCAGTGCCATTCAACCAAGAATGGGTTAGTGGGAGTCCTCACTGGGAGAGGAAAAATAAGCCTGGCAATCCTGTTCATCGCTCTCTGAACTTTCTTCAGTAGGTGATTAGGTAGGCAGACCCATAAAGAGTTACAATAGTCAACCCAAGACAAAATAAGTAAATGTAATAGTGTCACAAGACACTGTCTATCCAAAAACTGTTTCACAACATATAGATTTTGAATATGAAAGTTGCAACTTGTAACCACTGAATATATAATACAGAGGTGGATGGTAGGAAGGAGAGAAAGAGACCAAGGTAATGGAAGGATAGGGCGAGGTGGGGAGGCAGTCATCCAGGAAATGGTGGTGTGTGTGAATGAGTGGAGAACATAGCATCAAGTGTTCCTGGTGGAAGGCTGTGCTGCTGGCTTGTGTGAAGTGATGGGGAAAATCACATTTAAGGTCATGCTGTGGTAGGAGAGGTTAGCCTAACTTAACCTAACCATAACAGAACACAACTTATAAAGTAAAGAGAATAAAAGTCCTGCATTTAACAAGTATTGGTTGCTGAAAGAACATAGCAAAGTTGAGCATAGAATTATAAACCAGGCCAGTTTTATTGGATCTCATGGCTGGGATAAGTAAAATAACCCAACTACAGTATTTATAAAATGCTATAGATAACAAATTCATAATAGCACAGTTGTTGTATTTACATTGACTTAAAATATTTACCTTAAGGTTATGAAGCTGTTGAGATAACCACAATAGGAGGTAAAGTGACCCTTCAGAAGTTTATTTCATTTAAGGCGAGGAAAATATGACCTAAGAAGTTGAAATATTTTTTCTTTAAAATGAAATATCTGAGGTTCCTAATGCTGTCTCAGCAAGTATTAGGTGGTAATCATGGGTTACTTCTCAAGGATGGCTGGGGTCTGCAGGTATAAATATTTCAGTCCATCTGTTGTAACCTTTTAGTTACAAATGGACTTTAGTAGGAAAGTGCACGTAGGAAAATTCAAGAGCCTGATGCTATGGGGGTCAAAGATCAAGGCCTCCTTTGAGTATAATGTGTCTTGTCTCTTTGGTATCTATTAATGCTAGTGTAGATTGCATCACCGAAACATTTACAGAAACTTCCTTCCCAGGGAAACTTCAACACTGTGCCGAGAGACAAAGAATTTTTCAAGCTACGTAGCAGTACTGAGAAGCAGTTGGTTTTGACAGTGACTCCAGCTCCCCCCAGCACCCAGAGCAACACTGCACACACAAACACAGATGAACTTGCTGTGGAAAGATGTTTTGGTCTTCTTGTAGCCTCGGGAAGGAGAGTCACACACGCTGATATGAATCTGTTGGAAATGGTAAGTGTTTTATTGTCTTGTTTTTTCATTGACATTAGTCACTAACAACAAGGCTCTAGATTATCTCTTTTGATGTTCTTGTCCTAGAGAGACTTTTCTTCTCTTGTAGAATTTTTTAAGTGTTTTTTATTATTAATATTATTATTATTTTTTTTTACTATTATTATTATTATTATTATTATTATTATTATTATTATTATTATTATATACTGTGGATTGATTCTTAGGTATAGGTTTTGTAAGAACTACAAGTCATACCTAGTGAAGATGTGTACACAAAGGTGTAGAGCCTTGATCATCTAGAACACAGAGGTGATGTGAGACAATAGCGGTGGGGAACGGAAACAGTTCAGAAGACAGCATAGTCAGGCTTGGCTGAGTGTAGTTAACAAGTAAACTTTAATTCCATTTATTTCTTGATTGTTTGACTGATAGTGAAGAGCAAAATGTTTATGTTTATGTAATGCTTTTCTGCAAATTATATACAAGTACAGTGACCCCTCGTTTAACGAACGCCTCGGTTAACGAAATTTCGGTTAACGAACTGCCTTCCATAAGGATCTTCAATTCGGTTAACGAACAAAAATTCGGTTAACGAATTTCTTACAAACCGACCTCAACATGTTTTCGCTTGCACTGACCGGGCAACCAGCTTTAGTATCAGTCCGCCAATACATTAATCGGTTCTAGGGCTTAAATTCCTTACTATTTTAGTAAATATCAAGAAGTTTATACTATTCAATCATTTTAAAAGTTTAATATTAACTTTTTTAGTCATTTTAACAATTATTGAACATAATTGAAGGTAAAGAAACTAGTTTCTGGCGTGCCATCCAGCCTGTTAACACACCAGACAGGCGTTAGTCTCTCTCTGTTTTCAGTGGAGGTAACATCTTGCTTGAGACTCTCTTCAACTAAACGCTTTTTTTCTGTGTTTCCAAGCAAATTATTGGTCATTTTGAAATATATTTTACATATTGACAATATATAATGCAGTGCAGTGTTGATTTAAAGAAAATAATCTTGAAATGCACCAAGAGAACTAAAATTTTATGGATGAAATGGTGCCATGGGGTGACTTCTCTTCCACCCCAATGCCTTTTCTTCTTCCTTCTCCTCCACCCCCATTCTAATTCCATCATCATCATCCAGGAGCCTTCTACATACACACCTCAAAGTAAGTGAACTTTTCTACCATTTTTGTTGAATTTAGGAAATTTTCGGTGAGCTGGAACCAATTACCCAAAAACCCATTGAAACAATGGTTTCGGTTAACGAACGACCTTCTGGAACGGACTGAGTTCATTAACCGAGGTGTCACTGTACTTGTATTAGCAAAGTGGACTCTGATTAACGATGAATTGTGTATTATACTGTACAGTACTTCCTTTATTATCGTCACTCACAGTAGTTCTCCCACAAGTGTATATATTATATTTGCCATTTTCTGTATTATGAACAGGTTGGCATGTGCAGATATGTAGAGAAGACACATTAGTTATCATCTCCAATTCAAATGATGATTGATCAACACTTGAGTAATTTCTTGTTGTGTCACTATCCCCTACTGTCTCCCCTCCTCTACTCTCTCACCAGTATTTCACACTGCTTGCAAATTTTTCATAATTGTATATAAAGATACAGTAAGTAGGCTAAGTGTACTGTAGTGGGTTGTAGTTTCTAATGGATTTTGAGATAAGATGATAAGAGGTGCCAGAGACAAGCTAGAAGGTAAAATATAAATATAATTTAGGATTTTGACAAGAAAGGATTATTTTGTTTGTTGTAGTGAGGTAATTGTATACAGTATAAGGTTACCATAGGTTAGGTCAAGTAGCTAATGTTAAGGTGTGCTAAAATGGTATTATCTAAATGATACATTGAATTTTTTGGCATATCTGCATACTTTTTTGTTTCTTGTTTTCCAAGTTGATTGGTATATGCACAACTGTTTTATTCCCAAAGGCTTAAATAGATGGGAAAAAAAGTGGCAACTTTCATCTTTGCTGAATTATTGGGTTGATGGGGTGACACTCTCAAAGTCCATGTAGATAATTATAGTACAGAGATAACACCCAGCATTCAAAATCATGATATCAAGCATGTGAGAGAGGAAGACTGGAAAAGAATACTATACATGTACAGTATGGCATTATTGTCGAGAGATGGACTGTGTGGATATATGATGGAATACTAGCGGGACTTGAATTATTTAATACATTACGGGCTGATGGACTGGGTTGTACTGTATGAAGCAATGGGTAAACCTGGTGGAAATCTTTAGGGCTGTTTTCTTAGCTTTACAGATGTCGTTCTTATTTCTCACACTTAGTCTAGTTTTTAGAACCGGTTGTTTATGATTGAAGTGTGTGATAATTTAAAAAGACAAAAAAATTTTGCCAATTTTATTGTTGGGTGTTAGGTCTTCAGGTTGTTCAAGTAGTGTGACTAAAATCTTTGTGAAATATTCTGTAAATACCATCCTGTTGGTCTAAATTTAAGAAAAATATATGCACAATTGAGATAAAACAATTGAAAATAATGAGTTGCCTTAGTAAATATACACAAAGGTGGAGATATTGTATGAGAAGGGAAATATAAGAAGAGAGAGTACAAATAGAGAAAACAGTAGAAGGTAAGAGAGAGATGGAAGAAATAATAGCAACCTGTACAAGCTTGTATGGAATCTAAGGATGTATGTAAGACTTAAACCTGATGCTATAGTATATGACCATAAGAAAGGACCACTGTTAAGAAAAATATAATACTGTACACCTACTTTTATGATATTATCTCCATGGGTCTGTAAATTCTAGAGTTTTCTGTCGTATTTATTGAAATGATAAAACCCATTCACTATGGGGAAGCTATTTTCAGTATTTTATTAGCTTAACATCAGTCGATTTTATTCAGCTCAGGGGGACCCCCACTCAAGGGGTTAATACACTATCTCCACTTACCCCTTCACTACAAGGATGCCACTTATAATACTGTACAGGTATTTTATTTAGCTAACACCAAACAATTTTATTTAGCTCAGAGAGGGACTCCATACACAAGGGGTTAAAGAACTGGTATGAAGTAAAGTGAAGGTGTGGAGCATTCAGAAGTTCAAATGATAAAATTTTCTCGTCATCCACCCGCTCTAATCTGACGAGACGAATCTGTAGTATTTTTTTATTTTTTTATTATTACGTCCTGAATTTCCCCCAAGTGACTGAGTACTGACCTTACTGTGTATTGCCTTTATTGTTCCCCATTGCACTTATTGCAACTCAACACTCCCATTATATAGTAGTTGTTGCACACACAGACACACACACATACTGTAAACTTGTGATTTAACTTAAGTTTCCTCCTAAATGCTTGCTATTTGTTCCTTCTCCTCAGTTAAATGCTAATACCTATATACAGTATATATCTTATACTAAATCCCAACTTATGTGTCCTGTAACATCTTTGTCATTGTAGGAAGTCGACCAGCTGTCTTGTATCTCCCCTTTGCACTTTTTACCAATTTAATGACTTTCTTGTTTTTGCACCTGTGATATCGTACATTTAGGGACAGAATGTGTTGTTTGTAAGTAGGAAGTAATATGTTGTTGATTAATTTGTATTTGCTATGTACGGTATTCATTATTTGTTCATATTTGTGCTTATGTGTTTGTGTGTGTATGTGTGTGTGCGTGAAATGTTCATATTTGCAGTAAGTCCCGTTAAATCACGGTAATGCAGGGAAAGCTACCATGATGTAGCCAACTGTGATACTCATGGATCTTCAACTTAAAAAAAAACAAGATTAATCACTCATTAAAAAATCCATAACACTGATGGCATCCATAGGGAAATTTTGATCATGGTCTGTAAATGACATGACACTCACAGGTCACCATGGAAGCAGAGTAGCATACAGTACTGTACACACTTTGACACCTGAACCAAGATGTGTTCTCTCAAGTTACTGCAGGTGGTAGGCATGTTTAAAAAAAATATCAGTTTTATTAATGTCTAGATGTAATTGGATGTTCTCAATAATCGGTTCTTATTGGAATGAAAGTCACCAGCCTATCCCTTAAAAATTGCTAAGAAAAAATTTCAATGCAACTAAACAGAAGTATTGATAACCAGGTGAAGTGGAAATTTTCTTGTAGAATATAACTAAATAACACGATTGGAGAGTAGACTGTGCTCACCCAGTGGGATGCATTCTTGTGTTGGCCCAAGGTCCAGACTGTCAAAGGTTCTTGCTGTGAATATTTTTTGTAACTGTAGATGCAAAAATGCACTTAACTAATTGACTTCAACTCAAAAGCAAAAAAATACCACTGAAAAAATAATTAGAATTAGTTTTAAATACCTCTGGAAAGACTCTTGACTTTAATGTTATCCCCATTTCCCGGTGCTAAGTGAATCCATCTATTTAATATCATAGTTACAGTATAATTTTGATGTTATTTTAGGACTTTATATTAGTAATATTACTGAACTCAATCAGTTGGGTGTGTTCTTATGGCTTCGCTTACAAGGAATATTGTTCATATAAACTTTAGTGAATCTGGACTATGCCCAGCCATATAATCCTAAGGCCCACCCCTGTCTGCCTCTTGGCTCACTTAAGACTTGGTTATCTGTAAACCATATGGTTTAAGAGTTAATGCTGTAAAGACTAAAGTAAAGGTTTGCTTCCAAATTGGAAATAAATCCTAAAATAGAAATTATGGTAGGCAACAGGGAACTTAAACAAGTGAAAAGTTATATGTATTTGGGAAGTAACATTAATTGTGATGGTAGATGTATGGAAGAAATTAAAACAAGAATAGGGCAGGCAAATACAGCATTTAAAATCTAAAAGTCCTTATGAAAAGGGACATTAACTTCCATTTGGGAAAAAGGCTGCTGAAAGGCTTTATATGGCAAGGCGTGATGTATGGGTAAGAAGTGTGGACACTTTCAGCAGACACCAAAAAGAGGCTGGAGTCCTTTGAAATGTGGTGTTATATGTGAATGCTAAAAATAAGCTATACTGACAGGAAAACAAATGAAGAAATACTAAGATTAGCAAAAAAATTAAAATAAAAAATACTTGAAATGTACAGAAAAAGAAAAATTATATACTTAGGTCATATAATCATATAATTAGTGGATGAGGGGATAATAACAGAATTTAAGAGGGCCAGGGGAAGGCAGAAACTGGGATGGATGAATTAAATTAAAAACTGGGTCCTCAGAGGGATACAAAACCTTGGAGGATTGGTAAAAACAGCCCGAGAACATTTAGAGTGGAGGACTGTGGTCACCAACCCTCAGATATGAGAACAGTACTCTAATTGATTGATTGATCTGTAAACATTTTAGTTGCCTATAATCATATACAGGTATACAGTATTGTATATTCCACTGTACTTAAAGCTCATATTAAGAAGAGAGAACACCTGTGCAGTACATCAGCTAACATGCATCATATACTGTTCATGGAGATTTGGGTAAACCTTAATGACCTTGAATTATAACATGATCAGCTATGTATTATTTCAGTCTTCTCAGTACAGTATGTATACATTTATACTTGCAGGCAATATAATAATTCACTAAAGTAACTTTTTTCTTGTTTGTTTCAGTTTGAAATTCATAATAAAACCCTATATGTAATTAAAATTTGAGAAGGGAACTATAATTGTAGCTGATACTTGTACAGGAAGTTGTGGCTGAGAGTGACAGCAGCAGAAACATCCATCATTTGGTGAGTGGCTGCACCAGCCTAGTTTGCCTGCCACATACCACAATAATTTCAGCTCCTCACTTGCAATATAAAAAAGTTCAGTTGCCATTAAATAGTTAACCACCGTGATATAGTGGGAGTTTTTTTTTTTTTTTTACAGTATGCACTCGCTTCCTCTGTTATCATGAACATTCTTGTGTGTTGTTTCCAAACTTTCTGTTGATTAAAACTTCATCATTAATTTTTACATAAAATTTTACTGGCCAAAGTCTTATTAATAAAAGCTTAGTATATATAAACAAATTTACAAATAAAGAGCAAATGCTAAATTTTACATTGAATTTGTTGAAGAATAATTTGTTTTGTTTTTAAAATATTTACATACAGATTTTATTATGTGTATGTTTGTATAGAGTGAGACCTTGATGTATGAGAAGAATGATCAGTCTGTGAATGGGGGAGTAGAGGGTCCTGATATTTCTACTCTGTATTAAGGGTTCTTGAAATGCTTATTACTTTCAAAATTCCTGCACTTTAGGATGGTAAATACTGCAAAAATCTTCAGCTGCAGGAACAGACTGACAACCATGACAAAAGAAAGGGGCAGGTTAGTTATGGTTAAACAGCAGTGATCTCATGTAACTGCTGATGGTAATACCTCTCCTGGGACCTGGCCGTCCTGGGGTCTTTTATCCGCTTATTGTCTCAACCAAACAGTGAGGAATATTTTCACTCCCTGACACACACTGTTCCATCACTCCCTGACACACACTGCTCCATCACTCCCTGACACACACTGTTCCATCACTCCCTGACACACACTGTTCCATCACTCCTTGACACACACTGTTCCATCACTCCCTGACACACACTGTTCCATCACTCCCTGACACACACTGTTCCATCACTCCCTGACACACACTGTTCCATCACTCCCTGACACACACTGTTCCATCACTCCTTGACACACACTGTTCCATCACTCCCTGACACACACTGTTCCATCACTCCCTGACACACACTGTTCCATCACTCCCTGACACACACTGTTCCATCCTC